ATTGTTATTATAAAGAGGATGTAGTTAAAGTTACATAAATCAGGTAATGGGTACATTTCTTTTGTTGTTGTTTTTGTTGTTGGTTGTGAGGGCTGAACTCTGGGCTTGGGTGCTGTCCCTCAGCTCTTCAGCTCAAGGCTAGTGCTCTACCACTTGAGCCATAGCACCACTTCTGGCTTTTTTCTGCTTATGTGGTGCTGAGGAATTGAACCCAGGGCCTCATGCATGCGAGGCAAGCGCTCTACCACTGAGCCAACTTCCCAGCCCTGAGTACATTTCTTTTTGGACAATATCATCCCTTCCCTCAGTCTATCCCATTTTTTCCCTCTCATCCCAGATATTATGGTATTAATATGTTGCGCAATAGAAAGCTAATGTAGTATTTATTGTTAGTGGTTTAGGCAAAAATCATAATTTTGGAATGCTCGTGTTGTCTTATTTGCTTACATAGAAGCACCTCACTTTCCCAATACTGATGCATTTTTATCATGAGATGAGTTTATCATGATATAAGTTTATAGTTTGTAAAAAGAAATTAGCTTCCCCCCCAACTCCATATAAATTCTCAGAGGTTTATTCAAACTGTTATATGTGTCAATGGTTCAATATATTCAACAGTTCAGTAGTATCTTGTGTTTGAGATATATTTGTTTGTTCAATCCATCCTCTTGTTACAAACATCTGGGGCATTTCCAGATGCTGTTCTGTATGAGGATTATCTAGTCCCCTACATTGACATTAGTGATGCATTTTCTTACCAACCAAACAGACAGACATGAATACAAGAACTCTGACTCAGCTAACTCTGTGATATGCACTGAGAATCACATTTTCAGAGTACTCGTAGGAATAATAGCCATTGATAGGGTCAGAAAGACTCAGCTATAGAGAGGTGGGATCTACTCATACAACCATGGGCAGCCATTTCCCACCTAAACACAAAGCGGTCTGAATTCCTGAAAGGATCATGCAGTTTTCCTGCCACCCTGCTACAAAGGTTTGACATCAGAGGTTTCTGTCTTACTTGGCAGCCCAGCGGGAAACCTCTTCTCTGAACAGATCTTGTGTAAACCAGATGCTGTCTTGTTTTCTGTAGCACACACGAAGACTGATGGCCTTACTAGGAAAATGAACATGGCGAATCAGAAAACCAAGAGGTACTTGTGAGAAGAAAGATGGTAAGGACAGCAGCCACGTTGTGAACTGTACTTCTAACCCTGTGTGTTGAGACATGCTACCAGTGTGACTCCTCAAGGGAATGTAGTATCTGCCCTCTACTGTTAGCTTTACCAAATGACATTCTGCTTACTGCTTAGGGAAGGAGCCTGGATCTGAGAGTACTCCACCCTGCCAGCTGTACTATAACCTTGGGATGGAAGTGTCTTTTTGAGTCAGTGGAGTGACTGTTATTGGGGAAGCTTCCCACAAGAGAAATATTTAGAATTGCAGTGGGGGAGTTATGAGGCACAATATAAAAAGAAAAAAAGCAAGCCTAAGATGCCACTCCTGACCCTTTTGGATTACTATCCTGAAAACTGTGGCAAGACTTCAGGAAGGTTCCTCTAGCTCATCAACACCTTGGATTTTCTTTAATCCCTTAAAGAAGCATTATCTATAAAAAGCGATTTCAGTTCCTCTAGGCCATCAGCACCTTGGATTTTCTTTACTCCCTTAATGAAAGATTATATATAAATGCTATTTCAGTTCCTAGTGTAACTGATGTTTAAGAAATGAAGAAGTATTCAAAGGACAAAATGTACAACATTTATTTTACCCAAAAGTTGAAAACAACTACTGTTTGTTTGGCAGTGCTTGCTATCATATGTTACATGTCACAATATTTTACATGAGTTTGATATTGTCCTAACATTTTTCCCAATCAGGGCTTGCTCATTTAGTGATCATGATTCCTAGGGAAGTAGTAACTTTTTCCATCATGCCAATGAGCCACAATAAGAAATTACCTTACCATGGTTTGTTTATTTGTTTTTGGTTGATTTTTTGGTCGTGGGACTTCATCTCAGGGCTGGGCATTGTCCCTGAGCTTTTTCACTCAAGGCTAGTGCTCTACCATTTTGAGCCACAGTGCCACTTCCAGTTTTTTTGGTGGTTAATTGGAGGTAAGCATCTCATGGGCTTTCCTGCCTGGGCTGGCTTCAAACTGTGATCCTCTGATCTCAGCCTCCTGAGTAGATGGGATTACAGATGTGAGTCACCAGCACCTGGCCTTACCACGAATACCCATGTGATGTCATTTTCTCCTACAGGTCTAAAACTGTTCATCAATTTGCAAACATTATGGGACTTTTAGTATTTCTGACATCTTTCCAAACTTACTTGTCATAGTTGTACATCATGGAGGGACTTTATATATACTCCTTTGACATTAGAAAGCCTCATCTTATCAAGAAGGTCACTCCCCAATGATCCACCTCAGCCCCTCTGAAAATCCACCCTCCCTCCACGAAATCCTGCTCTGGAAGGAAGTTTCTGGATATTCTAGATCTGGTCAGCAGAGTCTTTGAAGTCTCCTGGTCACCAGGAAAATTAAGAAGACATAAAACCAGCAGCAGAAAGTCTAAGGATCTGGGCTCTGGGTGCAATTCAGACATACAACTAATGAGTAGCCTTAAGTGCTTACATTTGCCTCCTGGATATTCTTTTGTGTCCTTCTATGGAAAATGAGTAGGCTGGATTGTGTGATTTTTTCCAACTTCTTTTTATTTATGTAATTATTTTTAATTTGTTGTAAAGGTAATGAACAGGGGGTTTCAGTTACTTAAGTAAGGTAATGAGTACATATCTTTTTAAACAATATTATCCCCTCCCTCATTTTCTTCCCTTTACCCCTCCCCATAATCCTACCCCCAGATTGTAAAGTTCATTTACAACATAGTGTCAAGTGAGTATCAATGTTGCATTAGTTCATCTTTTGTCCTACTGTTTCTGTGATTCTCTTCCCCTTCCACAGATCAGACAAGCTTATATACAAGACAAAGGGTATAGAAAACTAAAACAGAAAGGAAAATATAGAAATAACTGCATACAGGACACAGTAAAAACCTCTAATTTCCAAGTCTTGGAGTTTATTTTGATATACTTCATTATATATGGGTCCTATGCACTTAGTGATTGGGCTATTGTGATTACCTGCTAAGAATATCATAGACATATTCTATTTATATATTGTGCAACCTATATTTCTTTGGGCCTGGCTTGTTTCACTTAATATATTTTTTCCATTTTTCCATCTTTACCTTGGTATTTTACATTAGAATGACCTGTTTTCCCTCAGTTTTGTGTTTGTGATGGCAAGTAACTTAAACTCAAAGAACTCACCTTTCCCCCTGAGAGCCATATCTTAGAACTGTCCTTGCTGCCATCCCCACTGAATCATCTCCCCTCCCCATCGCTCCTGAACAAATATATCCTGTGGTTTTAGAGAAGAGAGCCTAAGACCAAGGCCTGGTCTGATGCTGATGACCCTGGTGAGCAAAGATGCTGTTGAAGCCTTGAAACTCCTCAGTCAAAATGAGATTTCTCTCCCATCCCATCTCCATCTCACTCTGCTTCCAATGCTCCACCTGACTTTACTCTTTCTGCCTACTATTCAAGGGGAACCTAGCTGTAAGGGGGTACACCATTTCTCCTTTAGTTAGGCTAAAAGAGACTTGGTTGCCCTTCCCAAATTTCCATGCTAAATAAAACCTATTGGTCTATTGAGTTTGCCTTTCTGCTCTTTTTCTTTTCTTACACTTTGTCTTACCTGCTTTAGCTTTCTTCTTCCTGAAAACTACTTGAAATTTTTAGTCTTCTATCATGTTTAATTTGATGCATTTATTTCTATGTCTTACATAGAAAAGCATCATATATGTGTTGTATTTTGTGTACATGTGTGTGTATGTGAGAGAGACAGAGAGAGAGAGACAGAGAGAGAGACAGAGACACAGAGAGAGAATACTTGCATGTTTATATGTGAGGAAGGTACAGATCAACAGCTTAGAGAGCTCCTGGGGCAGGTGTGTGGATTCTATTCTTCTTCTGGCAACATCAGGTATCTTCATAGTAGGCAAGGAGAACTCAATAAAAGAAGACTAAGGAGATAAAGTCTGTGAATGTGTGTTGTGTGACTTGAGGAATCTAAGCATATGGAAGTTATGTGTACCAATGTTTGTATATCTGAAAGTCTGCCCCGTGTGAGCATGTGTGGGTGCTTTGTGAGAAGTAAAGTGTGAGGAGGGAAGTGTAAATGCTTGTGTTTGGCTCCATGTGTTGGCCATATCAAAGAGGAAAGATGAATAAACAACAAAAAATTGATTTAGAGTATGCACAGGTACCCACAGTTTGGATTAATTTTTTAAGAGCAATCAACCGAACAGAATAAGTACAACTTTGGGACAAGGACTTGGAGATTGCTTGAAGTGGGCACCATGCGTCCTTAGCTGTGAGTCAGTTGGGAGAACCAAGAAACCCCTGATCTAGCTATGGCTGCCCAAAGTAACAGCCCGAGTGGCCTTGAATCTCCCACGACAGTCCAGGAGTGTCCCACCACACATGCAACAGCTACATGGACACAGATACCGTTCTCAGTGTCTGCATCCAACGCTTCTCACCAAAGACCTCATGACCAGTTTTACTGTGCTGGTTCCTGCTTCATGATGAGAGAGCAGTGAATGTTGAACCAGAAATTGACACATAACCAGGAGTGAAGTTAACAGTGATTTAATGAGACCAGGACAGGGAAGATTCACTTGATCCCTCTTCAGATGAACCCTGACCCACGGGAAGACTAGCTCACTCAGTGAGCCTTTCATCCATATTTAGAAGCTCAGGAAGACACCTGAATGAGTATCAGGGATATCTTTTGAAGGGATGCAAAGGGAGAAAGATTATGACTCAGTGACAGCATGCTAATTTCAAGATCAAGCGGCCACGTGGGATTTAAGGGGAAGAAGGCTCAGCATCTGGCAATCGGCTCTTCAAGGGTGTGGCTGCAGACATTACTTCTGCTTTATCTTCTGCTGAGCTGGTGCTGGAGTGACTGTTGAGGGGCAGGGCTCAGGCACCTTGGGGTGGCAGGGCTCAGGCGCCTTGGGGTGGCAGGGCTCAGGCGCCTTGGGGTGGCAGGGCTCAGGTGCTTTGGGGTGGCAGGGTTCAGGCATTTTGGGGTGGCAGGGCTCAGGTGCCTTGGGATGGCAGGGCTCAGGCGCCTTGGGGTGGCAGGGCTCAGGAGCCTTGGGATGGCAGGGCTCAGGAGCCTTGGGGTGGCAGGGCTCAGGAGCCTTGGGATGGCAGGGCTCAGGAGCCTTGGGGTGGCAGGGCTCAGGAACAACTGGGTTGCAGGGCTCAGGAGCCTTGGAAGGGCAGGGCTCAGGAACAACAGGGTGGCAGGGCTCCTTGGGGGCGCATGGCTGCTGGGGTGGAGGCTGGCAAGGCTGTTTCACCTGCTGCTGCTGCAGCTGAGGAGGTACAGTGCAGGGCTGTTTCTGCTGCTGGGAGCTCATGCTTCAACAGTGGCTGGTTCTAGAGACAGAAAATAAACTCTGTAATTCCACAAAACAGAGACGAAGTCAAGTTCAATGCCAAATAGATGTCATTGCAGGCCCTTCTAAAGGAGAGGGAGCCTTTCCGTTCACCTATGAAGGTAAAATGTGCTGTGATCATTTCTAGGAACCTTCAAGAGCAAGAGTTTAAAGGCAATATGTTCTGCTCCATTTCAATGAGGTTCTTTCCTTGGCTTCCTTTCCTCCTCAGACATTCATTGAAATGCCCCTCCAAGAAAGCTGGATTCTGAGAGACACGTGAGTCTATCTAGTGAATCTTTTGGAAAGTGATATCCTAGAAACAATTGCAGTCCATCTATCCATCTACTCCGAGGCTATGTAGAATCCCTGGAGCATTTAAGGTGACTCTAGATTAATTCACACCCCTATTTTACTTCTGGCTTTGGCTTTCATAGTTCCTTTTAAAATATGTATCGCTTCCCATCTGTTTGCCAAATACTATTCCACTGTAGCTCACATTAAGAAGCTCTTCTTGAACCACGCTGCCCTAAACCACACAGCCCTTGGCTCTTCACAAAAACAATTTTCTTCCTTATATTTTTGCTTTCCCTTCCCCACCCCTCTCTCTCCATAGATAGATAGATAGATATAGATATAGATATTTGAATTATCCTCACAGGTTGTAAGTTTGCTAAGTTTCGTATTGGTCTCACTTACCTAAAGTGCCCAGTACATTGTCTTGAATACAATGAAAGTGCACTAGAGATTTATCTAATGAATTAACAGTTGTTTAGTAAGTATTATACCATTGTGGCTGAGAGTGTTCTGGAATGGAGACTTAGTCTTTCACTCCCTATGAACTTCCTGTGAGCATTTGAGTAGATTCTCTCCCCGAATCATGGGTTCCATTGCTGTTCCACCGAGGTGGCAGATTTCAGATTTAACCATTTGTAAGTTCCCTTTATACCCAAACAGTGCTGCAAGTTCAAGTGATTCCAGTATTTCTGACTCTAGTTATACCTTGCATCAACTTCTCTACACATACATACCCTGCCCACTGTATAGCAATAATAATAAACCAAGAAAGAAATTCAGATTAGTTGCAATCAGAGACTTACCTCGTACACAGAGAAGAAGAGTCTGCCTGGTTGCTTGGGTCTGGTGTGAAGGCAAGGGCCCGCTTGGCTTTTATAAGATGAACATCTCCAGGAAATAGACCTGCCCCAGCCACTATGTTTTCATTTCTACCTGTCACACATGACTCACCCCCCTCCCCTCCATCACCCTTTGACTCAGCTTTTGTGATGAAAACCACTCAGCTGATATAATGGCATTAGCAATCTGACCATGATGTCATCTGGATCCCATTGCCACCTCCCCCTCCAACCCAGGTGGCAAGTTTGTGTTTGGGGGAGGGTTTAGCAACAGGTTGTAGAGGATTTAATGAGTCAGCTCTGGGGTCAGGGCTGGTGGCCCTGCCACCTGCTGGGTTTACCAGTGCAAGGATTGTTTTGTGGAATAGAATAGGTATTAGCCATGAGCTGGAGGAGAAGGGAAGGGGAGAAGAGGACCTGGGGGGCACTTATTGTCTCTCAGTAAAGGTGGATGCTAGAGATGGGAGGAACTGATTTTAAGCTCCTATGATCATCTGGGGAAACTTGTGATCTCTGAAATTCACTTCTCACATCCCAACTCCACTGAAATACAAACGTTCAGAATTATTCACTTTTTACCCCAAGCCTCACCCTCATGACTGGTTGCTAATCTAGGTGAACTGGCTTCGCTTTCACCAACCACACCTTTGCCCCTTTGCTTTTGAAATGTGCCATGTCTAATCCTTCTTCTGGGATCACCTTGCCCTTCTGTTTCACCCAGCTGGCTGTGGCTCTTTCTTCCTTCCTAACTAGATTTTATTCTGCCCCCCCTTCTTAAAACATCTAGAAGACCTTACCAACCACCTTCACCCCAATCCCATCCAGAGACCTCAGTGCTGAACCCTTTGTCCTTCTTGTCCACTTTAGTCTTAGCCCCAACCTACAGATTCCTGCCAGCTGCAATATTTTCCTATCCTCTCTGACTTGCTACCCCTATGGGGCTCTCAAGGGTCAGAATTGTGCCTACTCAAACCAACAGAGTTCCCAAGGTCAGTTGCTTCCTCTTCCTGCAGCAAAAATGAATGGACTGTAAATGTAGGGGCACAGAGAACCTTTAATCCCACTTCTGAAGGCCAATTGGGGATTTGAAGCCAGGAGGTGTACAACAGATCACCCTAGGGCAAACAAGCAAACAAACAACCCAAGAGGAAATCAACCCCAACTTTTCTTTGTTTTAAGCCTTCTTAGTGCCCACATAAGAATTAAGCCCAAACAGAAAAGACTAAAAGGTAGAAAAGGGAGTTCAGACTTCCTGCCCTGGTGTCAAGTCCACTGCGTGTCTGGGAAGCCAGTGGCTACGAGAAGACAGGAAGAAGAGTTTGGCTTTATGCAGGAGCCCTTAATTGTTGCTTAGGCTAAATCCTCTTAAGTAGGAATAAAGCTGCCTGATGTTTGAAGTGGCTCTAGAGACAAAAGGTATTTCTAATTCAGCTAAAAATAGAAGGGAGTGAATTAGTATAGGGAAAGTAAGGGACTCAGTTTACCACAAGTATGGACATTGCATCCAGAAGCCAAGAATAGCACTGTGTTTCAAAGGGCAGTCCCTGTTTGTCAGTGAACCTGGGCTTCATCCTCAGGTCACTCCTAGGCATGCCTGGCATTATTATACTCAGTAATGTTTGCTACATGGAGGGTAAACAAATATAGCCTTGGGAATACAGTTGGTTTGAACAGGCACAATTCAGACCCTTGAGAGCTTGCAGGGCTAGAGAATCAGAGAGGGCCAGGATAGGAAGGGCCCAAGATAAGAAGGAAAAGGCTAAGGTCCTGAATTATCTATCTCTAATTCAGGTGATTTCACTCTGCAGGAGGCCTCAGAGCAGTACAGTGCCATGGTCTGGGTTCCCAGACCAAAGAGACAAAGGATGCTGCTGAGCACCTACCCAATGGGGCTCTCCTTGTACACGTGTTCTCAGGATTCTCCCTGACTTGGGGACTTCTCTCTTCTGGGAGCCAAACAACAGTTAGGCTCCAGCAATTTCCTCTTATCAAGGTAATGTGAGACTGAGATCACTGATTGAGAGCTGCATTCCTAACATAATTTACTAATGGAGTGACCTTTGAAAATCCAAATTGCCCTAAATCTTAGGTGTGGATGGCTCTTCTTCTTCTTCTCAGATTTTTCTCTTCCCACCATACATACCTGAATGTTTATGGAGCACCAGCTGGCTTCACAGCTGGGTCACCTCAGGTAAACTTGAGTCCAAGATTAGCCTCCTACTGTGTCTGGATAGGCATCTAAGCACAGTACGTGGTATACAGTAGCTGCTTCGCAATGGATGAGTGTAAAGTGATGGCTGGCTGACTGACTGAATGAATGAATGGGTAAGGGGATGGAATGGCATTATTTTTAATAACACACGCAGAGACTTCTTTGATAACTACTGAGAAGTCTCTTGCAAGAGGAACATTCCTTTGTGTTTGTTTCTTACCATGAGATGAGAAGAGATGAGAAGACTTCGCATATGATACTTCAGTTGTCTTCCTCTTCCCCCTTCTCACAGATCCCAATTGCAGGAGCTTGGGGGTGGAACTCTCTGCTACCTCAAGTGGGATTCCCAGGCCCAGCAAAGGTTTCTTCCTGCTCCTTAGTCTGCTGATGCCACCCAGATTCTGAGCTATCCAAGCCCAGCTCTGATATTGGGCTATTCCTATTCTTTTCCTGGACACAAAGGAATCTTTCCATCTTGGTACTTGCCTTGACTGAATTCTCCTATTGCCTCAACCTGCCCTTTCTTTACCCCAAGGTTGCGCTGGCTCCAGCCTCTAGATCTTACTTCTGACCCTGACATCATCATTTTCCCCATTTTTGTATCTGAAGTCCACTTAGTGGTTTTTGTTAAGAATCTTTCTCCCTTTGACTTAAAGATTCTTGGTTTCTTCACCACCAGGATAGGTTTAGCTGTTGCCTGAAGTCTCACAAGCTGCAACATACATAAAGAAAGGGAAACGTGGCTACTCTATACAGTACCCAGGAGACTGTTGCTCCCTATATGTTACTCCAGCATCAGAATTGACCACTGATTCAGAATGGTCCCCTGGTCCTTTCCTCTTGGCTCATGTTGGTGGCCTAGCTTACTCAATGGTCAAGCTTTATCAAAACCAGTTTAGATTATATACTCCCTGCATAGAACATCCCTCATCCAACATTCACATTCCAGTTCATTTCCCATTGGAGTGTCTGTTTAAAACACATACCTAGAAACAAAGTCTTAAGAGAGTTTTGCCTTTGCCTGTCCTCTGATCACACTGAAGAGTCAGAGAGATCTCAATGTTGGCTACTCATTTCAGGTCATGAAGAGTGTTTTCACAAAAAGTTTCTAGTGACAGAGTGCTTGACTTGAACAAAAAAAAGCTCAGGAACAGTGTCCAGACCCCGAGTTTAAGCCCTGGGATCAGCACAAAATAAACAAGTTCTTCAGTGCCCAGGTCCCACATCTGAGATAGGATAGGATAGGGAAAGAAGGAAGAAATTCCAGATTCCGGGTATTAGGAGCTTCCTGTTAAGAGAAGCTATGTTTTCAAACTTGAGTGTGGAGGGGGTGGGGGCAAAGTGGGGAGAGTAAGAGAGAGAGAGAGTCAGAGAGAGAGAGAGAGACAGAGACACAGACAGAGACAGAGACAGAGAAGGAGGGAGGGAGAGAGGGAGGGAGATAGAGGGAGAGAGCAAAAGAGAAAGAGAGAAATTATAGCATCAAGAAGTCTCTAACCAGCCCCTCAGCCTGAGGAGGGGGAAGAAGAAGGATTGAGGAAGAAGACTTTCAGCTTATTTAGTGGAAGAATCAGACCAAAACTTGGGGGTACTTTATTCCTTCACCACTCTCTCTCCCTTAGAACAGATCTACTCTTTATTCTCCCTTTTATCATTCCATCCCTGAGGTGTTTGATAAAAATGTAGAAACCTGGGCTGGGAATGTGGCTTAGTGGTAGAGTGCTTAACTAGCATGCACAAAGCCCTGGGCTCAATTCCTTAACACCATCTAAACAGAGAAAGCCGGAAGTGGTGCTGTGGCTCAAATGGTAGAGTGCTAGCCTTGAGCAAAAGAAGCTCAAGGACAGTGCCCAGGCCCTGAGTTCAAGCCCCAGGACTGGCAAAAAAAAAAATTAGCAAATCTTTCTTCTGTTGTATGCTTTATGTAAGGGCCGACCACCTTCCTCAGTGGAACAACGTTCTTTCCTTATGTGATTGTGTTTTATTTATTTAATTTTTGAGTTTCCATGTTTTCAAGATTATATCTTGAACTACTGGATAGCGACAATGACTATTCAACCCCTACACAGGCAGTAGCTAAAGTGATTAGTGATTGTGCTATGACCTGGGCATGCCCTACTTAAGGACACGGAGGTGGGAAAATAAGTAACTCTCCAAGAGTTCATAAAGTTATGACATGCTATGATACAGTATCACGATGGCTACACTCCACACCCATGGGGCATTCTATGAACTGGAGGGCCACTCTTAGAAGAGATACTGACTGGGTCCTGACCCATCTGCTCTGACCAGTTGACCTGTTGTTTATTTGAAATAGAAATTCTCTGGTGTGAAAGGTTGACTCAGGGCCTCCACAGTACACTGGAATCTGAGATGGTTCAGAATGGTATGCTATCCCTTCCATCACACATTGCCCTTACACTGTGAAGGGGCAGTGAGACAAGCCCTTGACTAAGGCTTTTCTACAAAGAATCTAAAACCTCATGGGAGATGACTGCTGTGTGTGTAATTTTTGGTCCCTTCTTCTGCTGGTGTAGTTGTGCCTGTTTTGTCCTGAGTCTTCATCTGAAAGAAAGCTCATAGTAGTCCCTAGACCACAGGTTTGAAAACGCCTGGCTTCTAATCCTGGCTCTGTTCTTTGCTAGTTGTATATGTGGTATTGGGAGAGTCTCCTAATACTAAAATCTACCACTGGCTTGGTTCCAGTGTTTGTAATAGCAATGCAAAGAGCAGACCACAAATCCATCCTACAGATGTATAAGTTGCAAGCACAAATATTCACTTGCCAAGTTTACAGGCAAATAGTAAC